TTATAAATAAGAAAAATGAAGGAAGAAGGTCATTCCTAAGAATCGCGAATCAAAAAATGATCTTGATAGCAGTCTAATTATGATGAAAGTACTGGACTGATTTTCTTTTTGCAAACAGTGTTATAATTCAAAGGATATCTTTTTTAAGCTTCTTGTACATTCGATTTTAACAAAAAAAGATTATTAGAAAATATGTAATTTTTTTTATGTTTACTAAATTTCAAAATGTTATAGTTTTATAAAATTTAACTTGTTAATATTTCCGATTTTTGGACTTTAAAAGTTTTTTTTTTTTTATTAGATTTTAGTATTATTATTACAGTTCAACAATTATATAATAATATAGACTTTAAAAGCTTAAACCTACTTTTACAAATACCGTGCCAAACGTGTGGTTTTAATTTGATCTCGGCAAAAGTGTGGTTTTTAGTATAACTAAACCACAAAAGTTGTTTTTTTTTTAAACGTGTGGTTAAAATAATTACTATATACCATGGCCATTATCTCCTGAAGTAATTACATTATACCATTGGTCACATAATTACGGTATGATAATATTAAGAATTCATTATTGTTTAATTACATTACAATTTGGACGTATCTTCAATATCATTGTCTTATCCCTTTTGCTGTCGACTCAATAAATATAACTTTGATATACTTGGTTTCGAAGTTATAGCAATTTGAAGTTTAGTATTTTGTTTTTATGCATACGCATAACATTTTAATTTAACCCACTTTTCACAACGTTTAGATTTTTTTATTAGGAAATGATGTGTATTAACGTTTTAGATTAATGGTACAATTGGAATTTGTCAGTCAGACTTACGAGTAGTTTTAAAGTTATAACTCACTAGTGGTAATAGCTATTACCTTCATGAATTTTATTCCATGTTTCAAATCCATTTGTGGAGTCGCAAATCATTTTTAATTTTTGCATATATTGTAAAAACGAAAAAACTACTAATTTTTAAATTATAGAATCTAACCCTCATACACGTTCCGTACTAAATAATAAAGAGAATTAATGAAATTTACTTAACGAGGGCTGGTGTTGGGAAAACGCTAGAATGTTTTAATCGTCAATAGGAAATAGATGGAGGAATGGTCGAACGTTATTCGGTGAAAAGCAGTGGCATATTTAAGGAGGGGGTGTGATGAGGGCAATCGCCCCTCCCGAGAATTTTTTCAACAGGAATTTATTTATTTAACTAATGGGCATTTCATTAAAAAATAAAAATTCTGAAAAAAATTGTATCAGTGATAACGAATAGGTAAAAATGTACATATTTATATTTTTGTTTGGGGTAAACACGTTGTCGTATTGGTGGGTGACACACTACACGATTCGATAACATGCAAAATAATATTTTTTGACTTGTGAAACTAACCTCCTCGTCACGTAGATCACTGGGCAATTTTATCCCCTTAGGTCGTTTAGTCCCTCCCGGTTAACTTAATACCTGGTTAATTAGGTCCCCGGTGACCTATTTGACCGGGTATTCATATGACAAATCACCTTTTATCATCTATGGATTCTACCATGACCAGTGTAGTAACCATTAAACACAAACGACTATAAGTGGTTATGGTGGTTGCGTTACGCACATAATATAATTTTATTGTTTAGGTATGTTGTTTTTTTTTTCATATTTTGTTATATTATAATAATTGATTAGTCCTTTAATGTTGAGTATTTTCTTTCATATTTATCATTATTTTCGCTGCGATATGTCTAATTCTGGTTCTAACGAACCAATGGTTAATGCGCAAAGAAGTCTCCATTGATAATACCGATAGAACAAACAAGAAAAAAAAATTGAGACAATTATAACTCCGTCTGCATCTTTTGGTTTGTCTACATTAAAGAGTTTAGTAACTATTATTCACATTACTAGTCCTATTTTATCATATTAGTCTAACTTAATACTTTTTATAGGCTCATAGGTGTAGTATGAAATTCATTATGTCCAGGTAAGTTTGTGTGAATAGTTGGATAAACTCTTTTTAAAATCACCTTCCCCGAGATAACTCTTAACGTATGTAAATATTGGGGGTCTGTTTTTTTATCTGAATATAGTTGTGAATTATTTGGCGATCATCACATTACCTGATCTATGTGTACCATAAATAATCTATCTGGCCAATAAATCTCCCATTTGTGCGTTGCATACTTGATATTTATATTATATATGAAACTAAACTAATATAAAACACTAATAACTATAATATCATTCCCAAGAATCTATGAACATCCATATTTCTTCATATTAATAGTGTTATAATTATAACATTATAATCGATTATAATCGACTACTATTTTTTATTTTTTTATTTAACATATTATCTAATCGCATTTATCAATTTAAAAAAATAACTTCTAATTATGTTATTTTTGTAAATATTGATGGTCTAATTTCAAAAGTTCATAAGCTTCATATTTTATATAAAAATATTAAAAATAAAAATTGTACATAATAAAAAGTCGTATTATAAGTTTGCACAAACACATTAACATTATTGCTTTTAAAAAAAATAACGAACAAACAAAATCTTTAGTTATGTTAGTTAATATAAAAAAAATGATGTTACCATTTTTATGAAGGACATGAAAGATTTCAATTAATAGTACATTTTGTCCACCACCCCGTACCAATTGGTATTGTAGGTGTATATTTTAAAGGATTGTAAATAACTCGTCGTAAAATAAAGTGCATACATGATGACAGTTTTCATTCAAACTGGATTTTAAAATTATTATCGTGTTTGTTCATCTCGTTTTAAGACCAAACTCGAATATTTTATTTTTTATTACTATTATACACTAATATATACGTCTGAAGACTGATGTAGTGATGAATCATTACATTTTCTAAAGCCACAATAAAAGTGGGATAGTTTTTACTTTAAAGTTTTTTTCTCGTTGAATGTGTTACACCTATATATAAAAATAAAAGTGAAATTATTACTCGAATGTCGTTAGAATATGCTATGAGTGGCTTTTAAAATTAACATGTCAAGTTAGTACCACAGTTTTATTTGTAATCTACTTTATTGTGTTTCAAACGTGACCTCTTTTAAGTGCCATATATTTAAAACGTTTACTCTTGAGAGGTCGTGTGAAACAGTTAGAAAACCATTTTTAGCGCTAACCATTTGTTATACTTATCTAAATTGTAATATTTTTTCCTATCGAGTGAACAGTACTATATACAGTATTGGGAATGGACGCTGGAGGTGCATGTGTATGAATAAATAAACAAAGAAAAATTTCTAAAATACGTATATTTGAAAATGACGACTGTAAAATACTAAAATAGATAGATATGCAATAAATCGACAATACAACTAATAAAATACAATTAATAGTTAAAGGATTCTGTAAGTAATAATAAAAAAAAAAAAAAATAATTTTAAACAACAACATTAACAACAACTAATAAGTTAAATTATTAACGTATAATATACCTATTACTGGTGTACAGTGTGTGTAGGTATACGTGTGTGTAAATGTGAGTGTTTTGTTGTTGGAAAAATTTTTTTTTATAATAAATGACTACATATTTATGTAATAATTAATCAATCAATCGTTTAAAATATAGTATAATGATAATAATAATAATAATAATAATAATGATGCAAAATTTTAAAAATTAAATTAAATATCAAATTATTAAACGATTAATGAATTATTATAATAGCAATAATGAGAAATAATAGATGGATCCAAATGAAAAGAAAAATAGTTGTTGCTATTTTTTAAAGAATATTTAATTAGTATTTTACGAAAAAGTTTTGTCACTAATTTAATTTGTATAAATTTAATATTATTTTTCAAGTGAGCAGCGACAACGAATTTAAAATATACAAATCGAAAAATTTGTAAATATTAAATTATTTAAATTTTGCAGCAAATCGCGGTTTGCCAGTGAACGAGTGCTTAAATAGTGATATTTTATAGTAATATATTAATCAATATAAAATGCGTATTTTTTGCTTCTACAGAATAACCCTATGTATAATAAAACTCGATTAATAATATTATTTATGTCGTCAAAACAGAAGTTTTAAGCAAATTGGTTCGTTTTCACAGATATGCATTGATTACTATAAATTATGCAAGTTCCATCTAATATATATATATATATATATAACTACAGTTGTCAATATAATAGTAATAAATTTAATATTATCCCGTAAATGTTAAAAAAAATGTAAGATGACCAATGGAAAATAGTGGTTATAAAAACAATTATTATGACAATAATACAATGTGGAAGTGCAGTAATAAAAAAGTTTTAATATTGTTCTCTGAAACGATGCATGTTCGTACAAACTACATAAGTTCTTCTAGTATAATATCATTATAACCTCTTCCTTTTTGTGTTTTTTATTTGTTTTGTTTTTTAAATAATTGTCATTAATAATATTATTATTTTGATTACAATTACGTTTGATTATTATGTTTTGTTGAGGCACAACGACTCATAATTATAGTATTATTACCCTGCAGCTACCAAAGTTAATTTATAACATAAGCTGTATAATTACGAAGTATTGATTGTAGCTTAATTTAATTCATATTTTTTTCGGTAGACATTTTAGAAAGTTGTTGTAATTGATCATTATTTTAATGTATTTATATATATATATATATATATATATATACATATACATGTTTATGTTATAAACAAATTTGCGCTTGGTTGTACCGTCGACATCGTGAAATTGAATTTAAATATGTAAATTATTATAATATGTATAAATCGGGCTTATGAAAAATGAGATGACGGCAAAAAATATTATTAAATAATCAAGAAAAATCGATAAATACGCTATTATATTATATAATATAAAATATGTAATGATGTGGTTTGATATTATATATATATACGTATGAAGTAGTAATGCTATAAGTTTAAATATTTAAATATCATTATTATTATTATTATTAAATATTCGTTGCGACAGTAGTTGACAGCAAATTAGAATACTACGTATTTTTTAATGTATCTTCCCCTATGTCCGCAGTAAACAATAGTATGAAAAAATACATGTATATGAATATATGTATATATGTATGATAATAACAATAACAATAATAACGACAACAAAGATAACCACAGTTTATATACACATATATATATATATATATATATAGCTCAATTTAACTCCATTGTCGATCGATATACCGTAAATTATTGTCATCACTCCATCGTCATCGTCATCAGTGTCATCATCATTATCGTTATTATATTACTATGTCAAATGCAAGGAAAAAAGAAACAATAATAAAAGAAAAGGAAAAATAAAGGAAATTTTTATACAGCGCCGCTGGTCATCCTTTCTATTATTCCTTGTTATCGACTGCGTCGTCGGCCTTTCGAGCTTTGTGCCCGCGGAACGATGCCTGAATCTTTGTGGCTGCCTTGTGCAACTCCGGATCGGCCAAATCAACATCCAATAGCTCTGCGTCCAAGTCCTGCACAACACGACAACCGTAAACGTTAACGCGAAATTAAAAAAAAAAAATTATTGCAACAAAATTTACAGTTCATTTTTCCGTAGTCCAAATTCGACGGACTGTCATATAGGTGGAAATCCATTGAAGAAGGGAGATTGTGGTATTCTTTTTTTAAATACCTATACAACTCCAAATGTCTTATACCATACTTTTGCAATAGTTTTTAGGGGATTTGGCAGGATTTTGAGAGGCTAAACACCCCTCCCTCTTGATTTCCATTAACGGACTGTAATTTCTACTTTTTAATTTAAAAACATTTTTTTTTACTTCTCTCAATTACGTTCAATATTAAATAATAAAAGAAGTAGTCGGCAAAAATAAATATGTGTTTACTATTAATTTGCAAACATAAAAATATTTAAAAGACGTATTGGTACTGAAAATAATCCTACTTAATAAAGTTAATTACATGAAAATAAAATAATATTAAATAATAACTGTATTTAATAAATAATTAGAATCCATTATAGTAAAAATAGTAAAAAAAAAGCAACCTACAGGAAGTTTGTTAGGATAATACATTATAAAGTTGAAATAGAGAAATACTTTATGAAACAGGACATACAATCGCAATAATCTAGACCTGTGGACTTAATCTCCAATTAAAATTACCCAAATTCTTTTCAAGATTAATCAATCATATTTTTAGATGCATGGTTTAAAACCCATTTCTACCCTTCCAAGATTTTGTACGTAGTTGCGCTACTGATGTATTACATAAAAAGCACATTTTTTGAGTACGTAGTTAATTAAGTTTAAATTCTGTCTCAACCGAATGATTAATTTTATACTTCAATCTTTTATATATATATATATACGGAGACCTATTTCTAAAGTTCAAAATTTGTTGGTTTTGTTCAATCAATCGGTGTTTGTTTTAAATTTCTGACGGTGTTTTCGATAACGATTATTTTGTTTGTTTATGAACCCGTGGTTGGTAAATGTTGGTTAGTTGGTGCGCATAGGAAGGACCCCAAAACAAAAGGTTTATCAGTGTATAAATACGTTGAAAAATTGGTATCTTTTGAAAAAAAAGAACATCAAAGAAACTAATGTTTGAAACAAAAATGTTTTCATGCAAACGAAAAAAGGAAAAATAAATTGAAATATTTATGTATAACAAAATCCAAACGCAGAAAGTTGATTTAAGGGTTAAACACAAATAATCAAAAACAAGTGATTTCGTTTAAAAATAAAATTGTTAACAACATGATAAACACGTTCGATCAACTGCAAGTGTATAAGATGCTTAAGGATTGGTATTTTATAATTGTATTGTAAATTCCTTCAAAAACATATGAGTGCAGATTAGTTTTAAGCTTAGAGGATATTTTATCGAGTGTGTTCAGTAATTTTGGAAAAATTGTTCTTACAGCACTTACAAGTGACAATAGTTACATCCAATCGTATAAATAGCAAACTGGTAACATGTGTTAAGTATGTACTCGAATTCGATATTAGTATTTTCGTTCTTTATTTAAATGAAACCTACTTGTTTCTGTAACGATTTATTTGCACTGTTCACTGATAAAATAATTTTTATGATTTTTCAGTTTAAATATAATATCATGTACGTATTAAATTACGTAGAATTAATGATTTTTTTAAAACACATACCGAAATTATATTGTTAATTTATTACCTTTGTTACCTGACTGGCCGTAAGCAGTATGTGTTTCATTTTTATTAAGTATTTATTAATTCATTTATATGTACGGTTAAATTATTTATGTTGCATTGTCATATGTATATAAGGAACTCGAAGCTGATTTTATAAGGAAAAAGTTCTTCGAGGAGTTTATCACGGTATTATGATTTTCCTATAAAGTTAATTTATTTTGGAAGAGAAATAAATTTGGTTTCAAAAGTTTTGATTTCGATGTAAATAATATTGTATAATTTTCCCATATACTTTTTACAATTACTTTAAAAATGTGTTTACATATATATTTGATGTCAGTAATATTATTTAGTGCCTGTTTGAGAAAATCATATACTTTCTTGTATCAAAAAATATACGATAAAAAAGTAATAATAATACGGGAAGCCAGAGAATAAATATTGAATACCGCCCGTACCGTATTGATAAAAATGTTTCCAAGTATCCGTACTGGCATTTGAATGCATTTCAGAAATAATAATAATCGAAACGCAATCGTTCTGATCGAACGATATCTGAACGAGCACCTACGCGAATTTTCAACAAGTCTGGGACGCCCGTCTAGATTCCGTGACACAACTCGTAGACAGGCAATCGTATGAACTTGATACATCTATACACATGCAGCAGTGCGCGGTTCATATTATAAGTCGTGCCGGTATTTGATTACTATACCGTCATGTTCAGCGATAAGGAGTTTCACTACTCATGGTTAGTGAATATTATTATACTTGATACGCGATCTGTATAGTGTACCGTGACACCACGCACAGACTTATATAACGACATTTGATAGTCGATTTCGTGTGCACAACGGCACACGATAGTATTTATGATGCTTAACGTCATTAACTGTTACTTGGGTAATGTTTGCAAAGTTTTATCATTTTTATAACGTGATTTTGTCGATTTCAAATAATTTATATCATCGAAAAACACGCACAGTGTTGCTATCCCAGTCAATAGCGCCCTACGCTATTGTTGCACTAGTGTTACTATGGCTCCGTGGGTAAATCATAGGCGTGTGTTTTATGCCGGTTGGGCCCGGGCACTTTCCTTCCGAAATGTTGTAAATGGAGCCCTAAAATGTAATTCTAAGAGTAAATGACCTGTATTTTAACTGATGTTGCTTGAATTAAATGTTATTCATTCTAGAATATTTGATAAAAAATAAATTATGTTTCGTAATAGAAAAAATAAAACAAAACGTTCTAAATGTACGTGCAAAAACTATGATAATATAACACCTAAAATTGAATACAAAAAGACAATAGAATTTATTAAATATACCATCACGTTTTATTAAGATAGGGCACAAAAGTATTGTAGACATCCCTTGAATACGGATATGCACACGTCTATGATCTAGAATTAATACATTAATATCGAATATTACCCATGTTGTACATTTTTATACCGGCACCATTGCTTAAAAGACTTCAATCGACTATCAAATTCCTACATAGAACTTTGGTCATATTATGCGTCATCATTATCAATAATATCATAGTATTAGGGCCGTAGCTAGGGGAGGGCTATAGCTACGCTATAGTACCTACGCTCCAGGCGCAATTCCTGGGAGGGCGTAAAAATTAAAAATTTGCAATTTAATTGTTATAAGTAATAACTTATTACTTATAAGTAAAAGTAATATTATGTATTTATGTATTTACTTATATAACTTATAAATATAATTATGTTATACCTATGTACCTATTTATAATTATAATGTATACTTATATTTTAATAAGTTATTGATTTAAATAAAATTAAAAAAACGCTTATATAATTATAAAGAAAAATCATTACATTGCGTTAATAAAAAATATTCAGTTTTTATGTGATTTTTTTTTATAAATTAAAATACTGAAGGACACATTTTGAAGTTTCGCCCCGGGCACAATATTCGGTTGCTACGGCCCTGCATAGTATTATTGTACACTGTATACCTTGTTGATGTCAACGTTTTTCAACTGCGATTCGAGGCCCTCAGTTTTCGAAAGCGTAGCAGAACCAGTGGCACCACCCGGCTCGTCTTTTCCGCCAGCCTGCTGTTTCCGAGTCATGTGGCCTCGGAAGGACGCTTGGATTTTGGTCGCGGCATGACACAATTCTGCAATGCACGCGCGTGATTAATAATTTTATACTGTTATACCCGCAATATTATACGTGGAACTTTCTAACCGCGTTCGAAATGGATTTGCAGAGAAAATATAAAAGTAATTTACCCGCGTGATCCGGGCTTGACATTTTCCTTACCTACGTCATCCGGTCGGAATTCCTTTTCGAAATCTACTTCTTCGGAGGTTTTCATTGTTTTAGAGTTTTCTTCCTCACTGATCGAACCCGTCAAACTGTCGTGTTCTTCTGAATCTATAAGAGAAAGAAACGAGAAAAATAGAAAATAAATAACCGATATATTCCGATTGTACCTATCACGGTACTGCATATGCCCACACGATATTTTTATATTTTTATATTATATAATATGGTGTCGTCGTTCATATTTCATTATCATAATACGATATTAATAATATAATATCGTATTATATCGTGGGAAATTCGAAAAGAAAAAAAATTATCGTATTCATACTGTACACTTGCGGTACGCGCAAATATATACGTTTACATATGATATATTTATATCATACACCGCAATCGTCATTACAACGGGTCTAATTTGTTTTGCATATAATCGATTCTTGTCCACCCTCGCTCCCGTCGTGATCGTCATTGTCGGTTAGTATTCTCGTATGTGTAGGTGTTATTCCGTATAGGTGTGCGCAGAAATTTTTGGCAGATCCTGTTACCCCTGTCCCTAAATTCCAACCCCCATCCGATAATCTCTGCATATATTACAATATACAAATGTACACTCGAAAATATATTAATGTAAACACGAATCCGGGAAAGCGGCACCATGCATTGTAAAAAAAAAAAAATGCTTATAATGTGCCTCGTCGTACGAGAATGCTGAGTTCAGTTTGCGGAAACCGATTATATGAATATTTCATACTAATTTTCAACACACTCACACCTGCATTCATTTATTATTTATTATTCACTCGATATATGTTCGAAAGAAGTCGATAAGAAACACTTGGCGCAAAAAAATGTATTACGCACGCGTGACCTAAAAAATGCGATAAACATATTGCGACGTGGAAGCCGCACAGAAAGTACCGACTATTATTGTTTGAAATATTATACTTTTTAAATTGTTTAAATATTATCTTACTCGAGTGCATTTGCGAAAAAGTACTGGTACTTTAAATTATGGCACCGAATTAATTATTTTTTTTTCTAACAAAGCACGATCAAACATTTTTTTATTGGTATTGTTCTTAAATAATTACAATAAAACTAAAATAAATGACAAATGTGTTCAAAAGTAATTTTAATACATATTCATCTTTGTATAAGAGCCATTATAACAATGTCAGACAATATTACACTGCAGGCAAAAGCATAAAAATAAAAATGTTTTTCAATTATGGTGTACACGCGACTTTATGCATTATAACTGTATTGTATTGTTTCGAGTATTTGCACTGCAAACACTGAAATATAAGTATTTTAAGCCCAGAATGTATTTACGTTTACTCGTACACTTGTATATGCGAATACCTAAAAAAAACTATATTACTACATCTATACATGACGCGGCCACGTAGTGTTATTTTCTTTCGCCGCAGATAAAAGACATATACGTGTACTACATATTATATAAATTAATTTTATAATATTTATATGTGCGTACATATATATTTTGGATTTCTACGATGATATCAGGTCGAAAAAATTGCATACGTTTTTTCGGCATCTATATCGTGTATTTGAAAACTGCGAACAATGAGAAAGAATGTTCAAGGGAAAAATACTCGACAGAATACAATACTCGACTTTTTGTCAGAAGATAAAGTGATAATACAATAAACGTAAATAGATTGAACAATAAAAACAAGGGTGGATAATAAAAATGATAAAAAAAATGTCTATTGCGCTGTATATAATATACACATGTTGTACGTATATACATATAATATGAACGTATAGATAATAAAACTTTTGTGAAAGGGTGGTGTCGAGAAGGAAATACTAGTGTACAGTGCCCTACATTATATTTACATACGCATATATTATATTTTAGACGAATCCTCACAGTAACGAAAATCAAAATCGACAATGCAAAACCCTGTGCCCTTTATTGTTAATCGTATTATGGTATATTTTTCTTTCGCTCGTGTTTGAATGCGTTTTTATTTTTTTCAATCTTATTGAAACTGTTTCTTGCGGGAAAGAGTTTTTATAGAAAACCTGTCGCATTCGGTCGCGTACTACAAGAACAATTGTTTTTTTTAATTAAACTTTTTTTATTTTCGATGTAGGTATAAATAAAGACTTGTCGTGTCGACAGAGCCGTGTATAATTAGTACAGAAACAACAACAACAAAAATAAATAACCAAAGCGAACAAAGACGACAGCCATTTCCTGACTCTGTGTTGGTGGTTTTTTTTTTACAACAGAATTTTTAATATTTTGCGAATAATAATAATAATAACAATAATTCGATACCATCAAAAGATGTACAGTACAACAGTAATGTCACATGAAACGAATGCGAAATCAAAAATCGTATCGCGGAATATATTGAAATCCATTGAACTATGGAAAACGGGGGTGCTCGCATCGATGCGAGAGATATTAAATATTATAATAAGATCAGTGATCCCTTATTTGGCGAGGCGAAGATATCAGTCGAAAACGCATACTTATGGTATATTTATGTTAATTATAATGAAACGTTCTTAACGGCTATGCGCGCGTTCAAAGTTTCCGGAACGAACTTTTGGTGATATTTCAAAAAACCACCGGTGCGACATTGATTTCGGGAAAGCGCCCGTGTAGAGGCGCAATATGTTTGTCGTACACGTAGGGTGTGCGTTTCGTCGAGACATAATCTCGCCCGATTATCACGTAACGATGACGTATCTCACGTGTTCCGTATCAATAAAAATGTGTACGCGGAACGTATCGATGTCGTCAATCATCAATCAAAACGTTCGTATAACTCGGTGCAGATACAAGTGCGGAATGAAAAGACGAAATACAAAATAATTTATTCGGTCGTTTTTTCCGGGATTCGTGCGCTCCGGTACGCGTAAAACGTGTAGCCCCGTCGGTCGGTTAACGATCTAAAAACGAAAATGTCGAGAACCGGTGGTTTTCACGCGGAGTAAAAATTTGAAAAAATAAAAATATTAAAATCGAACAAACATATACCTAATTTATATCGCACGTACTCGTGTACAGGGCGGCGGCGTCTGACTACGTGTAAAACACCTATCATAATACCGTCTATTGTGTTCTGCGTTTCCGCGATTTGCACGGTTGCGGGGTAGGAACAATGCATTCAATATTTATACAATTGAGCGCGCGGAACTGTTACGCACAACGAAAAGACTACGCGTGCGGCATGAGGTGTGCGCGCACCAGTTATTGTAGGCAAACGCGCCATTAATATTATATTATTAATGATTTATCATCTGGACGTGTGCGACAATACGCGTCCGACTGTAAGCTCGAAACCGCATATCATGTGTATACAAACACACACATATACTTGTATCGAATATTTATGAACATTCATCCGGTGCGTTTGTATCCTTGTGTTTTTTGTTTTTATTTCATTTTCTTCAAAGCCAGGACCGTCGAAAAGAGAGAAGAATATTATCGTTTCAGATGTGCACGTTTATACATAACACTGTAAACGACGTCGCTGTGAAATCGCCATTTGTATACTATCGCTTGTACCTGATGCGTTTCAATTTTAGATTCGACAGTGCTCACATCCTCTGTCCTCCCCGACAACAGTACCAAAAATAACCGTATTCGATTGTTAATATCAGAAAAATGAAAAGCACGATCCATTTGGTAGAAAACAAGATACCTTTCGGATAAACGTAAATTCAAGAACTAATAAGCTTAAAAGATCTCATGTTCAGATTAGATCAGAAAATTATGCTATTTTTAACTCATATCTACAACTCGAAGATACGGTTAACATATTTCCCTGCCCTGTGGAAATTCTCTACAGTAGTGATGATACCAAAATCAGGAAAATCTGCCGACACCGTTACCTCTTACAGACCTTTTTTAGATCAGTTTACTAAATATCATAATCATTGGAAAAAAAATAATATGCTCAAATATATTTTTATATATGGCGTTCGATAAAATGTGACGCTAAAAACCACTTTCCCGTTGTTGTTCTATATTTTCATTACAAAAACGAAATCCTGCAAACTCGTCGACTTTTTTCAACGTTCTGATTCGCCCTACCATTTCTGCGCAGCACGCGTAAAGAAAATGATACCCCGGACGTGTGTACCGCGGTAATCGATCGTACTGCGGTAAGAATACGTCCTAAAATCACTATGAAATCGACGTTTTTCACGTCTTGCCTGACACGTGCTGCAGAAGTTGCGTCTTCTCATCGAATAATATTACGGCGGAAACAGCTTGTACAGCGATAACAGAGGATGAGGCGGAATTTTATTGGATACACTATAATGTACCGTAACACATTTTGACCGACGGATGACCGTACTTTGCCGACTAGGCTGTTTTAGCTTCTACACGTGAAAAATAGTCGTTATTGTTATTTATTTATATAGCGTTTTGAGGATAGCTGTTATTGCGAAACTATTATATAAACTGGTGCGATTCAAAAGAGAAAAAATAACGGTCAAACGTAATCCGCGAGCCAAAGTTTTCGAAACAAACTTCGAGCAACGAATTTAGCGGATTCGTAACCGGTAGTGATTAATAATGTTAGTTTACTGGCGTAAAGGGCCAAAAGTGCAAAACCACAAACGGGTCATCACGCGAATAAAGTACTGGAGCGGCAAAATCCAGCTCCGCGGTAGCTGTCGTTATCAAGGTTGGGGTTGGGTGGGGGATGGCTTTCGTTGTAAGACATCGGGATCGCGTATTAAGTGCACGGAACCGTTTTATATCGTTTCGCACTACGAGTACGGTTTGCTAACGTAAAACCAACGAATCCTCGAAGACGGTTTTCGGTAAAATCGGTTCTCCGTTGACGGTTCTCCGTACGGAACGTCTGTCAGGAAAGTATGCAATGGGCTCGTTGCGTAGGGTGCTGCGGTAACAGGCGTACTAGAAAAGTGCGAGAGGACGAGAGGGATTTTTTTTCCGGAGGAGGGGGTAGGGCGATAGCGGTTGCCGCACAGATCACGCGCCTCTATAGATACTATAGACGTGCGTATACGGACACACGCGTGCGTTATAAACGGCGGAAAGCTTCAGCGGACGGGTGGGCATATACGGCGTGTGCGCGCGCGCTCGTGTATTTTTAGTATGTGCTTGTGGTAATTTTCGGCGGCGACTGCGGCGGCGGCGGCGGCATACGGCATCGATCGCGGCACAGTCGGGTTGGCAGCGAGGGGTGTGAGCGTACGCGAGTCGCGCGCGAGGGTGGCCCATTGCCGGTCATTGGAGGTCATCAGGTCGCGGCAGCGTTCGACCAAGGCCGCGGCGGCGTCACCTATTCTTGGCAATTACATCCGTCGTTACCGTAATCACATCACACCGCGTACGACCGCTGTACACGCACGGGCGCTTTGCCGCAGCAACGAAGACGGCGAGCTTGTCGCTATACTGCCGTAACGGTTCTCCCGACGGATCGTATCCGCTCGCTCCGACAACGGTCGCCGCGTCGCGCGCGTAAACCTCCCCGTCGCGCAGGTACTCCGACATCCTAACCTCCACCACGCCCTCGTTTGCGGCGATACAGCCGACGAGACGTGACATAAGATATAAATGATTACAACGCTCGTGGTTACGGACGAACAGTGCAACGCAATGCGCGTCGCGGACGCGGCCAGCGTATTACGTCGCACCGCGGACACGACATTATTACTGCACCGTTGTCGTGTTGGCCCGGAAGACCGCGTCGATCTCCACGGACGTCACGACGTGTACGTATACGGACGCGAACGCAGACGACACAAGCGTCTGCGCGCGTTAGCGTAACGTCGTGTCGCGTACGGAACAACGATTTAATGTAAATAATGTGATACACAAATATAAAATATAATAATAATAATAATAATAATAATAATAATAATAGTAATAATCTAAATCAAACGCAATTGTCATACGTAAATAAAAATACGTACCGTCTACGCGCGCGATAAACGACGACGTGACGGTGCACAACGTGCGCGACGTCGGCGAGCGTGCAATGAGCGTGGTCATACTTACGTGGGTGCGGGTGCAGCGCGGGAGACGATCGCTTGGTGTCGCCGGTGCTGTTGCTGTCCGTGTCTGGTTACGTGCTCGTCACGACGTCGCGTGCGATGCTCGTCGTCGTGTGCAGCGCGTGACCGTACCGTACAGCAGTACGTTGGCGTATACGCGATGTACGTACGTCACGTATTATATAATAATAATAATAATAACGATAGTAATAATATTAATCGTCGTAATTGAACAGATATTTTATTATTATTAAACGTGTGTGCACGTATAAGTGCGTGTATTATAACGCGGTGGCAGATGTGCCGCACAGGTGCACCCGTACGAGGTACTGCAGCGGACGCGCGAGGGTATAGAGCTACGCGAACAGCGGTTTTGTTTTGTTAAATTTTTTTTATTTGAATTTTTCTTTTTTAATTTATTTTTTAAAAAAGAAAAAAAAAATTTACGAATTCGCGTTAGAGACAACCGTCAATTACAATATTTATACTATGGTGCGTGACGATAAGAATATTATAACGACGACGACGACGACGACGAGCGACTGGCAGAGACTGAGCGTGAGTCAGAAGTGTCGGTAGTAATGGTCGCAGGAGACGGTGCAGAAGATTTCGACGTCGACGTCGGAAGCGGCGCGCTGTCTGGTCTGACGGCGGTGGTACGGTAGTGCGTCCGGTTCGCGCGTATCTCGTACGTGAGCGTAGAGCGCACGCGTGCAAGTTCGCGCGTGTGCGGGTCCGCGGGATCCGCGAGTCGGTGTTGTACGTGAGTGTGTGCGTGCGTGGGTGCGTGTGCGGGTGCGCGAGACGGAGAGAGAGAGAGAGAGAGAGAGAGTGTTGTCGGTGACGGTGGCCAACGAGCGTATGACGGACTCTCGAGCGACTGCTGTACGCGCCGGTCCGTGTGCGGTGGTGCACGTTGTCGCGCGCGAGAGCGCAAACGCCGCCGGTTGGTTGTAAGTACAGAGCGACAGCGGTAAAGGCTATATGTATATATACGTGTATATGCGTACGTGAGTGTATACGAGTTGGAAATAAAAATAAAAATACCCTTAGAGCGACGGAGGGGTGTAACCGCGTTATACGTATATATTTTACACACACACACACACATTTCTGTTGTACATGTATATAATATAATGTTTGTGTGATATTTTGTCTGACGTCGTGACGCACGTAAGCGGCAGCCCCCCTTCATCCCCCCCCCAGGACCAATACGCAGCGATAAAGCCACCGCACCGTGCGCCGCCGAACGGTGTACCGCGACGACATGGAATGTGTCGGTACGACCCCGTCCCCGTTCCCCCCTTGATCGACGTACGAACCCTTCGCGCGGTACCTGCTCCGTCTCGAGACGTACACGTACACGCGCGCGTAAACGGCATACGTGTGGGGCTGGCCGCGAGGCGGCCCCGAGTCGCTGTAAAGCACGCGTTCGACTTCCGCAGCTCACCCGTCGCGATTCGGTTGATTAAGCGGTCGTGCGTCGCGAAACAGATAACACGTTACAATGCTACACGCTTTATATGATAATATTATCTTCCGTCGACGACGACATTATTTTTTAATCGGATTATTTTCGTCGGTGCCTTCACTCGGTCGCGCGCGCATAATATAATAATAAAGTAATCGTCGTCGCACCGTACACAACCCTCGCGGTCCTTTTGTGCACGTAAGACGCGATTTTCATTATAACAATAAGCGCTACTATGTGTGTATGTTATATAGAAGCTCGTTAAAAACAGATTAGTCTGTTAATATGTATAGTGAGAGAGAGATATAGAAGACACACGGCTTCTCGTCCGTGCACGACTATAACTAATAACGTGACATCGTACAATAACGATAAAAGCGCGAAGCTGCTACTTATTTCTACTGCGACGATACGCGGTTGTGCACGGCACGTATCGTCGATTTGCCCCCCCCCTCCACGCACTTACCGTTGTCACAAAGCGGTATCAAGAACGTTTCGGCGGCGTTGGCATTTTTGTCGTTGGCCGCTGCCGCCACTTTCGACAGCACTTTGTTGGCCGCGGCCGTTCCGCCGGCGGCCGTGTCCACGAGCCCTGACGCGTCTCCTCCGTCTTTGCTGGGGTTACAGCCCATGATGGCCTCGATCGGGCCGTGAAACGTCGTCCTCCGCCCGCTGTCACCGTTCCGGGCCGCAGTCGTTCACGTGCGACGGCCGCGGCCCGCATCCGAGAGCACCGACGTGTGACCCGTGGGGAAAACGTGTGCGGCGAAGACGGCGACGGCGAAAGGACTCGCAGGTAAAGCGCGGGCTGGAGGGGCGCGGCACGAGAGAGGATTTCTATCCGAAACGTTAGTCCACGGACGGGTGGGGGATGGGGGAGGGATTTAATATCCGAAAGGAACTGGAGATAATCGTATACGCTGTCGCGCGACCGTTGTACCGCGTACCACTATATCGCAATGCGCGTTAGGTATATATGCGACTCATGTTCACATACCGCGGCGGTGGCGTACCTACTATGGTTCGGGGTCGTCGTTTTCGCCCGCACCGATTCGTTTTCATTCACTCTCTTTACGAGCCCCCACACACACACACACACACACACACACACACACGTAAACAGTACATATTTTATAGCCGTTACCCAACCCCTCACCAACCCCTTTCCCCCGCGTCGTTACGGGCCTGGGTTCCCCTTTTCCAGCAACGAGTTTTTTTCTCTCCCCCGGTCTCCCCTCACTCACCTCACCATTTAAAAAGTGGAAAAAACGCAAGTCGCCCGCACTGCTCGACGACCGCCGCCATTCGCTGTACAATAATTCGTGTGTTTTACCAAGACACATATATATGTGTATACCGGTACACACGCAGATACCGTAATATACGCACTGTTATACGGTCGGTTGCCACCGGTAACGGCAACAACAGTGGCGATATAACGATACTGATAATAATAATATTTACGTGTGCACGGAATCGAACGGGAATGGTGGCCAGGTAAGGGTCATTAAAGGAGGAGGAGTGTGATGGTCGACGACGATACGGCATGTATAGGGCGCGCGGGGTACACCGGACTCGCAGACGGACGTGGGAGGCTAAGCTCTTCCACTTGCCTACCCATCGATTTCACGCTGCAAGTGTAGCACGTAATTCATGCGATGATGGTGTGCGCGTCCCGGGTACAGGCGCGGTGGGTTCGCTGGACTCGCCGCCTCACGTTTCTATTTGATATCGCGTGGATCCAGGGCCGTAGCAAGGGGGGGGACGAGAGATGCCCATGCCCCACGCACAATTCTTGGAAGAACGCAAAAATGGAAATCTTGCATTTAATGTTAAAAATTACAACGGTCAATGTCATATATTTTGTTTACAAAACCTTTAACATCATCCTTTATATTAATTAAAGCAATCGTTGAAAATAAATTTTTTAAATTAAAAATACATAAGGGCGCATTTTGAAGTTCCGTCTCAGGTGCAATGTTTGGTTGCTACGACACTGCATGGATCACGCGGAGTCGAGCGCGGCCGCGGGGCTAGTCCGACGATAGTCCGCGAACAACCATTCCTCTCCCCCCTGGTGTACTTTCCCGGCACGTATGGATGATGAGTTCCGGTAACGGTCGTACACACAATAATTCGTCATGCGTTCAACGACGCATACATTCCGATGTCGCGTAACCAGTGCTTGACTTGAGGGGGGACGCAGGGACGGAGTACCCCTACTAAATTTCAGAAATTTTAGCGTCTCTCTATTAATATTACGTTATAATTATGATAATTAACGTTTGAGGACGCCATTTTATTTAAAATAAAAGTCCCCTTCTTTAATTCGGTCAAGTCAAGCACTGCGCGTAACCGATTGTGACGTGGCGCACTTGTTATCGCGCGGCCACGGTACAGGTGCACGACGATGACACGTAAAACCGAATCGAAATACTGTAACGAACCGAATAGGGTAGCGGCGGTAGTAACGGTGACGGGGTGGAAGTCGGCGTGATCGATAGCAATTATTGTTGAGCAAACACGTACGGCCAACACGTTTGCCCCGGTTATTAACTGCTCACCACTGGGTCGACAGTGTCGGCGGCAGGGCTAGCGCTATCAAATATTTCAGAGGGAGTGGAATGGGTTAAAGTTATACGAATTTTCCGGCTACCCTTTGCAACGAAATTTTACGACACAATATTACTTGGCTAATTGACGATTGCGCGGATTATCATGCAAATAGGTCAAATTACCATCCTTAATTCGGTAGAAGGGCGTGTGCAATTGATCGATCGTCGATAGTCAATTTTCAGACGCAGCAATGCGCGTACATCGAATACGCTTGTACTACTCAATTTGTTTTGTGCGGGCACAGCGATCAATTATTTTTTCCTTTCATAGGTAGGCGTCGAATACTTTTGTTTATCATATCTCCGTCCCTCACCATAATTTCAACTAGTTTGCGTCTCTGCCATGACCCCATATTACGATTCAGACCCGTTCCGAGCCATTTCATCAAGTGCTCGTGGGTGGGCGGTGACGTGTTGAAAATCCAATTAAAATACGTTATCGGTTCATATTAATTGGATGTGTATTTATGCTCGTCGGGCTGATTATATTTTGACGTAAACTTTTACCCACAAAAACATAAACTTTTTTTTTCTTTTTCATTAATTTATTATTCCTTAGATACCAAACGTTTTAATTACGTTCGCGAATCGTCGAATTACAAATGATTGTATTGTTTTACATTATTTTTTTGTAAAGTTCTCGTATATATACCGTCCGTAACTTGCCTTCAGCCTTGCTTTTCATCCAGTTATTTTCGAAACGAAATAATTTCTATAGTCTTTCAACTTCAGTACATACTACGCATTATTGATTACTGCTGTCGATTCCAGATCCGTTCGAAAGTCGAGTTAATAAGCAACCAGAAGTAGGTTGCTATAAACGTCATTGGGAGTCGATGTTTCGTTATTAAGTAAAAAGAAAAATTAAATAAGAGTAATAATGGCTTTAATAATTAATTATTATAATACTCTATTGAAACAAAGTTTTTTTTTTAAATTTGACTTTATTTGGAGAATTACGATCTATACATAGTACAATAAGTAATAATACTAAGTTTACAGAGCACACGAGAAAGGAGTCATACATTTGTGACACATCTTACATTTATAAGTTTTTACTTAAGTAATCACGGCATCATTTCCTCTTGAGGCATCTGATTGGATTACCTGGAAGTATTAGTGAAGCTAACTCATTGACTAGTTGGTTAGGAATATCTTGAAGTTTGGAGTGGAAGCATTTGTAGTAGATAGTAGCTGTATCGTCAATGGAAGGTAAATTGAAGTCGGAGTTTAGGGTGTCGTTCGAAACGAACCAGGGTGCACCAGTGATTAAGTGAAGAGTGGTGTTTTGAAAAGCTTGTATAGTTCTCTTGTTCGAGTTCTTAGCGGAGCTCCAGATTACTACACCGTATGTTCATATTGGTTGAAGAAGAGTTTTATAGAGAATAATTTTTATAGGCAGGATAAAGTTCGAACAAATCAGTGGCCTTAGCAGGTGAAGTCTGGAGTTAAGTTTCATACACTTATCTTTAAAATGAAGAGACCAGGTAAGGCGTCTGTCGAATGTAAGGCCAAGATATTTTACTTCTGTCGAGTGAGGAATGGTGATGTTGTTGATTGTTACAGCTGGGCAGTTTAGAGGTTTGAGTGAGAAAGTCACAAAAGAGGACTTGGATTCATTGATTTTTATTTTCCAGTTGATGAACCACTGTGAGAGAATATTTAAGTGAGTTTGTAGTTGATGAGATACGGTGGTATGATCAGAAGAAACTGATAATAGGGCTGTATCATCAGCATATGTTCCAACTAAAGTACTTTTAGTTGTGGGCAGGTCCGACGTAAATATGGTGTATAAGAAGGGAGCAATATCATTGTCTTGAGGGACACCAGCAAATATAGAATATTGTTTTGAGTGTTGTAAGTTATAGCGGACATTAAAAGAGCGGTTGGCAAGATAGGATTTAAGTATTAAGTATAAAGGAGCTGGAAAAATATTTTTTAGTTTGAAGAGGAGACCATCATGCCAGACGGTATTAAACGCTTTCGCGACGTTCAGAAAGATACCGGCAGAATATTTTTTGGTTTCGAGTGCTGCGGAGATAGTGTCTGCAACCCTATGAAGTTGATGAGTTATGGCGTGGTGAGCACGAAAGCCAAAATGGAAGTTTGGAATGATGTGTTTTAATTTGCTATGGTGGTTAGGTTTTACCCAGAGCTGATAGTAAGCTGATAGATCTGTACGAGGAGGGGATTTCTGGAGGCTTTCCAGGTTTGAGTACTGTAACAGTAACAGATACTTTCTAGGTGGTTGGGAAATAAGATAACCAAAGAGCTGCATTATAGATATGAGTAAGATGAATGATCGCTTTCAAACGTAGATTTTTGACGAATTTGTTAGAGATGAGCTCATGACCTGAGGATTTGTTGTTTGCTAGTTTTTTTTATAATACCCACTATTTCCGCTGGGGAGATTGGTTTTGTAGGTAGGTACATAGGTAATGTTGACAAAAGAGACTCCATGGCAGACGACATGTGTAGTGCTGGTCAGTGTTGAGACTTATCTAGATAAATTTATCTAAATAATTATCTAGATAAAAATATACTCCTAAATTATCACCTAATATTTTATCTAGATAAAAATATAAATGTTATCTATTTATTTATCCTAGATAAAAATTTCAGTCATCAGTTAAAACTTATCTAGAATTTTATGTTGAAGAAATTATTTTTAAATTATTTTATTTTTGTTTCTGATAATTACTTATTACCATATTGTAAAATATAAATAAAATAAAACTTATTATAAAATATTATTTTTATAAACGCAGACGTCCGGCAACAAGCATGTCAGGTCGATACTTGGAAAAGCCCAAATTCTGACTTGAACTCCGTAGAAATTAATAACTATAAATAATTATTATTACATTGAAAATTAATCCCTTGATTATGTACAGCCTATGGGTACAACAAATTACACGTCAGTATAACATGCATGTTTGTAATATTTGTATAGGTATCATTGAAAGTAATGACCTAAAAAAAAACTTTTAATTTAAATAGATAAAGTACTTTAAAAAGTACCTATTGAAGTGTTCCTTGATATTAGGTACCTATTGTGTATTATTATTAGGACTATTAACTGTCCATTTATTATTTTTAAGTAAACTGTAATTGGCTTTGTAGTATGCTGTATAGAAAATAAGAAACTTGTAAGAAAAACATTTTACATAATAAATTGTTTTATAATATAATATAAAATAATTATTTTATGTTTTTATGATTATTAATTTGAGCAATAAAGGTTGTATAATAATATATATATATTTTTTTGTGTATCTTTTATTGTCTTGTTAATAGAAATCAAACATAGTTAAAATTGAATATATACAATTTTAGTTATAAAATTAAGAACTTTTATGGGATTCAAAAATAAAGATAATGGATAGCAAAA